CATGCAGTTACTGTACATACCAAACAGCTCCTGCAATATTCACATCTTAGCCACTTCAGGATTTAAGTGTTAAATATCACAGGAGTTAACATTAAAACCCCATTAACAGTAAATGCCCTTCCCTTGGAAGGCCTTTTTTATATCTAAAAATAATTTTTTAGATTTAATATCTAAATCTAAATTTAGATATTTAATATATCTTTTTAATATCTAAATAATTACACTAGAGGAATGTGTCCCAACTAAAAGATATCCTTTTTTAAATTTTTTGTTTTCTTCCCTAAATGAAAAAATGCCAAGATTACTCAATTTCAGCAAAAGCCAATGTCAAAAATTCCCTCCATTTAGGAGAAATCTCTATAACAGGTTTCTGGAACATTTCAGCAGACATTCATTTTCCCTTTTATCTTCCCAAATTCCGGGGGCTGGGGGACAGTTTGCAACAGAAATAACCAAACTTTATGACTTTAACTGATGCTGCAGATATCAGGGTAACAGGAAATACACATTTCTGTGAGTAGTTCGAGAACATTTGTAAATTATTTATTTGCCTCAAAAAAGTCACTGTAGCAGTCAAAGTTCAGTAAGCAGAGTTCAGAATGATACTCAGCTAGCTAGAAATGGAAACAATGGAAAACTACCTTCCTTGTAAGCTGGAATTGGCTTTGCTGGGTTGAAGATGAATGCCATACACTGAAAACAGAAAGAAAAGGTCTAAGTCACCAGAAGACGACAAAAATACAGCTGAACATCTACCACTGCCTGCATGATGCCATCTGGAGGACAAGTGTCAGGCCTCTGTGGGCAGTCTCACCTCCAACAATCAATTCAGAACATATAGGGAGCTAAATGTCATGAGAGTGTAGATGTTCCTTCACGCAGAATTTAGTGCAGAATTTAATGTGCAGGGATTTGTGTTCAGAATTATCAAAAAGCAATGAGCTAAATCTTCAGTAAGTTAAACACTTAGATTTTTCTAACCGGAAAGAATTGTTCGAGTCTATATTTTGTTCTCATCACTAGGAATAGTCTGGAAAATCCTCGCAGTGCTTGTCTGGACAGTTAGGTTTCTGGCTGACTGTTTTTTTCTGCCTCGCTTGCTACTGAATTATTTTTAATAAAATTTATTCTTAGATCAAGCAAGGGGCATGATTCAGGCCCTACATACTCTTCACCAAGTAAAGACAACTCTACCAAAGGTAACGGAGGGACTGTAAAAAGAGACTGTGACTCTGTGGTTGTGGTTATGGGCACTAAACAGTGTGACTGTAGTCTTGCCTCATCCCCTGCCAATGAACTCACCCCTGCCAATGGAGGTACTGAGATGAGCAGTAGGAAGTACTTCATACAAGGACTGAAATGACAGAGGATCCTCCCCCCCACAAATACCCATTCTAGCAGGCATATTTGGATTATTTAGCTCTTAAGCATTAGCCCTCTTATCACTTGCACAACTCAAAAATCTTTAACTAAATCATTTCAAGCGTCTGTAGGCTACCTCAAACGTGTCAGCCTAGGTAACCTTCTGACAGTAAACCCCAATTCACATTTCTTCTGGGTGTCAAATATCAGGCCTTCTATGTGAACTGAATACAGATGAACTTCCTGCTCCCATTCCTCACGCTGTGCTGATAACGAGGTAGGACGGTAATCGTGATCCATGAACTGCATCTCTACTCAGGCCTGTCCTCCTCTTAAGGATCTTGCAGCCTTTTATGCAGGTCTCGCTATTGCACCCAGTGACAATTGCAGGCTCCCCTGCAAAGCTGCTCTCTGGCAATCCGCAACTTCACCAAAACTCAAAGCCAAAAGTACTAGTGTTCCAACCCAGTCAGGGAGGAGGGGAGGTCCCCAAATATACCACCTTCAATTACATTTTCATCTTCTAGCTATAAAAGCTTTTTATGTAAGAGTCATTATTGTCTTCTCCCTGGAATAAAATGTGAAGTATTTTAGGAAGCTGTTAGAGAAGCTGAGTGGATTGAAGTATTGTTGTGCTAATTAAAGCTTCTTTGATTTTTGAACATTTAATCTGAATGCTCTATAACGCGAGCATTTTACAGAAAGACCAGCTATGGAATCTAATGCAGCTACCGGGGTACCTGTTAGAAAAATTGAGTATAGACTACTTCTAATCTTCTTTTCTTAGCAGTCTGAAAGGGAGCATGAAATTATGGTCTTCCTACAGAGTTTTCTGAACTGAAAAGTTGCAATCCTATTTACTTCTGTGGGCTTTGGGTTACCTCAAAAGCACAGCAGCTCCTTTTACATATTTGCAGAGCTTTGCTGGGAGTACATAATAGCCACTTTCAGGGGTAGCACTGAATCAGATGGTCTGATTTTCCTTGGCAGTCAGATTGTCTGATTCAGAGCATTCGCTCTGAGGGCAACTGATTCAGATGCTTTGGAGTAAGGTATGAGATTTTAACAGTGGATAACAACACACCTGTGAGAAAAGTTATCTTCTAGTTGCTGTGTGGTAAGGGCAAACATATTCACACCTTACTTTCATTTATTTTCATAAATCAATTTTTCTGCATTCATCAATAAAATAGCACATGTAAGCTGAGTAAATTCCCAGAGTAACTCAGATAAATTAAATTCATGTTGAAATCATCAATATTTATAAAGTATCATATAAAAAGGACACCATGTTATTGAATGGACTCGTTCCCTCTCTGTTTTAAAAGTCTGCTGAATTAGGGACAAAAAAAGAATGTATTAGTCTTTCTTCCCCTTAAAAACAGAGTGCCAGTGCAGCTGAAGGAGAAAGAGGAGTCTATTCCAGTACATGGATCATTAGCACATCTGTTACCTAAGTTACATCTGCAGACCCACTTTTTTTTTCCCTTAGTGCATGTTACTTTAGAGCAAATCTACAAGACAAGAAGTGCATGGTGTAACCACAGGAAGGATTCAATAAGCAGATTTTTTGTAACTGATGAAGCATAAAAGGCAAGATAATAGGATTGGTATTTAGGGGAGAAACATTTCTATTTACTTTTAAGATCGACTAAGAATGAACTGAAGGATTCAACTAACACAGAACTCAGTGTCGGTGTTTTTATGGAGTCATTTTAGAAGGCAGAAAAACATGTTCTGGGAGCTGCATGCATGTGGTTTTGCTTTCAAACCTTCACTTAGCAAAACTGAACACATCAAAGTAAGTATCTCTGTACGAGATGTACCAAGGGGTACATTGACTATGCAGGCTGTGGGAAAGATGGGGCATCATAAACCATGACATATTGTAAGATACTGGTCAGTATAACAGTACCAGTTATGGCTGACTATTTTGTAAGCATCACGGTAAAGGAACCTAATGAGAACATTTTCCACCCAGAGGAGGCAGCATAGGTGGAAACAGGCATGACCTTTCTTCAAAACATGTATAATCGGGATAGACAAGATAGATAAGATAGACCAGGAAGGCACTCAGTAGTGAAGGCTTGGGGATAATGTTTCATAAGCTGGAGTAGGGAGCAAGAAGCGAGAAAACTAGTAGAGTGATACAGAAATGGCTAACAGTGCAATTGGACTGGATTCTGGAAAACAGGTTATGCTGCAGTGCTACAACTTGATATAAACACTGCAGCATGAACTGTGCTAAGGATGAAAAGGAGAAGATCAATAAGATCAATACTGTAGAGGTGATAAACAAGCTTTTTTTTTTTTTTTACATTGAAAGGAAGATATGAAGAAGCAGTGAGATTTTACACATAGCAAAACCCAAAGTCAATGACAGTGATGACACTCTTGAAGCCAAGTATGGACACGAGCACCTTGCTGAATCAGGAATACCAACAAGGAGCAGCTGACAATCAAATGACTTGGACCAGATCCATTTAAGAGTATTAGCTGCAAATCCTTACTGTCAGCTCAAAAAAACATGCTTCTGACAATCTAAGTGCAATTTCAATAATATTCTCTAAATGTACTTGAAACTACTGATGAATGAGGATTTCATTGATGCAAGCTTTTCTTGACCAGTAAAGCAAAATAAATAAGTAAATAAAATCACATGACACATCACACACAATATACTACAACATATATGCTTAGGGTATTTTCATGTCATTTAACTATATGTAATTAGCGTTCTACTGTATATGCATCCTACTGTTACAAAGCTCACATATCTACTGAAAGATCTGGTAGTCTTTCTAGATTGACTTCTAATACACAATTCTTTTGGTATCAAATAATTAGGATTAATGTTATTTCCTTCTTTATATATAACATAATAACTGGGGAAAATATATCAAATTCACAAAGAAGTAATGAAGTAATCTTTAAGACTGCTGACCTATCAAGACCAAATACCTGAAAGTCATCATATCTATTCTGAAGGGCAAGACAGAGCAGGCATGACTGCATAGGACCAGTTTGTGTGAAACATTCCCTAAAGAAAGACAAACAATATTCAGAAGAAACAAGACCAGATCAGTTTAACTTCCTTACATTCAAACCAAACCAAATAACATGATCCAAAAGACATGAAAAACACAGTTGTTAAAACCTGTTTTCAAGTCAGAGCTTATATAATAATTCTACAGCCAATGGTTCAGAATTAGGAAAGCATCTGTAATATGCTAATTGATACCCACAAGCCTTTGGAGAACACAACCAGTAATCTTAATCTTATTTCCACCATTTTCAGTGGAACTGAGTGCTGTCTCAGCACTGAAAGCAGCAAGGTTTGGCCCTAGAACATGACTCACTTGAGGTTAGATCAAAGCATACGGAAGCCAATGCAGTCAGAGGACTTTGGCTCAAACCCTTGGGATAATGGCACCATAAAGCTTGAATTGACATTTACAAGCTCCTTGAAGCCCATAGTGACATTTCACACTGCCTATTGAAAGTACCATTTCCTATTTGTCCCACCCTTCAATAAGGAAACCATCAATGAACCAGCAATCCACTTCAGGTGGTGCTGTCTTCTAAGTGACAGGACAGAAACTAGAGTCCAGAAAATAACCAGACGGAATATTCCTAGGTAAGATCCTTAAAAATTATCTTTAATTGTTGCCAAGTATGAACAGATGAACAAGTACAGAAGCAGGTAAAATTGCATAGATGAAAACTATGCATTTCAAATAGTTCAAGAACTCATAACATTAGATATTCTAAAAATGATAAACCAAATTATTTCACTACTGGAAATAAAATGAGCTGTAACGTGACAATGAAAAAGTGTAAGCAGTTTGTAAACAGTGAAAATAAGTACAGCTGAGTCAGCTTAAACGGTTTGTTGCCCTGATGGTGCACTTCATATGGAGACTATTGAGCTTCTATGTTTAACATCAGTAATACTTATTCTTTAAAATCAGAGGTATGTCTGAGAGGCCATATACAGTTCTATGATAGCTGTTATTTATTCATTTCAAACCAACACACTGCAAAAACAATGGTTTACATGTCAAGGAAAGGAAAAAATATTTAATTTGAGTAGGTTATAGGTAGGGGGGTTGCTGAATTTAGTCATAAAAATATCCTTTTTACTTTTTGTACAAAATTAAAATCTACATTTGATCCCAATTACATTATAGACATGTCATGGAAACAATAACATGGATCAAAGACTAATGCACCTAAAGGAACTGAATGCAACATGTTATCATTTTCATTTATTATAGAAACCAGAAACAGAAGATGACTTTTTTATAACTTGAAGTGACATTTGCTAGAGTCTGTGAACAGGTGAAATATACAGGTTTACATAGATATTAACAGATATTTTGAGACAAATTTCAGTTAAGACCTCAGCTTCACTTTATTTCCTCTGAAAATATCAAAGCATAGTATGCCTTGACAGCATAAATTGTTGACCTCTCTGGTGGCGAGTTCACCTGCACTAAATGAAATAATAGAACACCCTGAAATTTCATTGTTGCAGATACAAATACTGACACCTTTAAGAATAATTGATAAGCATTTGAGAAAAAAATAAATTTGCTATACTTTATTAAATAAAGCCAGAACAACAGAAGAATAAACTCAGCCTGAAAAAGGTCCAACAAAAACTGAAATGTAGCTCCCTGATTAAAGCAGCTGAGAAAAGTAATCTGTTTCAGGCTTGTTATATACAGTCCGAAACAAGCTTGCCATGTTGTGCAATTGCAAGGACAACTTTCTAATTCCATCCAGCTCTGTGGCTATGAAAGGTAAATCACACTTTGGAACTGATTCTGCATTCCTGTGAGTCCAAAATTACCACAACAATCAGTGGAAACAGGCTGCTGAAAGACGACAGGATCAGACCTTTCCTGGAGAAGTGGCTAGAAGCTGTGGTACTTCCTTTTCCTTTATGCTAGGGAATTAATCCAGGATGTCTACCGCCTAAGAACCGTTATTAAGTTAACATCAGAAAGGGGGAAAAAAAAATAAAAAATATATATATATAGAAAAAATATATGTGCACAGAAGATATTATTCCAAAATACAACTTTCCACTCTTTTCTAATGAATTTCAGATTTCCTGTCCTTGCGTTTACTTTGATTTTATTTCAATTAATACACATGCATATAAGAAACTGCACTGTCCAAGTCTGAACTATGGAAGAGTGAAATTTGCCCTCAGTTCCTCATACTTAAAATATAATCGATTTTTTTATGTTACATTTATGCTTCAGCACTATAATAATAGAAAAAAAACCTCTTTGTACATCTTTTTAATGAAAACAATGGTCCCCTAGTCAAAACTTGTCAACAAAAGTTCCCACTAATTCAATTGTTAATTTGGACCAATGCAATCTCTGATGAACTATACACAGCTGATTCACTAAGAAGGGTCTGATCCCTCTACCAGGCAATATCATTATTGAAATCAATAGAATTTTTGCCCATTCTTTTCCAGTCCCTAGTGCATTGTACTGTCTTTCAAGCACCTGTCCAAATGATTGACACTACATCAAGTTAAGCATGTGCACAGTTAGAGAATTTCTCAGTGGACATTAATTTCCTTGGGTCAAGATCATTGCCAGGGTAACTTCACAGAAGGCAGAGGGATTGATTCTCCTCACATCTATAAATGCATAAATCGGGAACAAATTAAGGAAATCACTACAATTGTACCAAAAGACGATATGTTAGCGCTCAGTAAGCCAGGCTTTTCCAGCACTCACCACTCCACTCTGTCTCTACAGATGCTCTTGTTGCGTACTAAATGTTTTGTGTCATGTTGGTACGCTCCCCTCAGCCACCCCCTGCAAAGAACGGTCACTTCCATTACATTTAATGATTACTAAAGGCTTGTCTCTCTGAATGAACTTGTGAGGCAGATGAGGTAAACTGCATTAAGCCCCATTGTGTTCAGAATTAAAGCAGCCTTAATTCAATTCAGCTTACTTTCCTCCCAAAAAGAATGAACCCAAATCAGATTAAGGCTGCTTTTATACTGCAACAGAATGTCCATGCTGGGCTTGAATGTAGTTTAACAAATCTACTTTAAATGCACACCTTTCATTAATTTGGATTAGCTTTCCTGAACTCCCCGGTGGAGATATGGCTGACGAGATTCCATGCAGGGAGTCTACATGGATTTTCTAGGACGTCGTGAACTCACACCCCGGCTTACTGCACGCTAACTTCCTCTTGAAGACAAATTAATCCAGTTCATTGCTTAGGCTGGAGCTGCAGCACAGAGGATTGGAGCTCTTTGCAGCCTGGTAGCAACTGCTTGATTCTATTCTAAGGAAAGAGGTACAGAGCCTTTCATTTCCCACTTGCTCCTCTGTCTGTTCCCTAGTGCCCTATACAGCTAAGGGTAGTAGGACCAGATGGGGAGCTTGGGCTGTGATACCAGTCTGTGGGATTCCTGCCCACTGCTGCCCCATTTCATTACTACCTCTGCACCACAGTACACTGCTGCCTTGGTCACACCATACAAATGCCCTCATCTGCTTTACAAAGCTGCCAAAGAAAAAGCTGTTTGGAGGCACCTAAGAAGGCAGCACTGAAGTGGCTAGTAAAGGGGGCCATATGCCAGTATTGCTGCCTTGCTTAATGAAACTGCAACCCAACTAAGGCTCCTGTATCTACTGATATCTCTAGACAGCATAACATGGACATCATTTCTGGGAGCTTCCTAGTAAAAAAATGGTGGTCTCTTCTGTCTTTCAGAGAAACACTAAACCAGCCATCAGTTCATTTCCAGTCCTCTTACACTGACAGAAATAACCCCACAGAGCTCAAGCTGTGCAGCAAAAAGAAATTTAGGACTAAAGGGGAAAGAAAAGAAAAAGAAAAGAAAGATAGAAAAGGATGTTTACTGGTAGGAATAGGCAGTTTTTTTAAGTGCACCTGCAGACCCTCAAAGACATTTCCACTCTTCTGTGTAAAGGGGGTAAGAACTTTTTTTTGTTGTTGCTTTTTGTGTCAAACTTGCCTGAAATGCATGCCTGTGCTACATGAGGTTAATCCCTGTACTCCATATTTACTGAAATCCTTTCAATGAGCTATAAATGGGCAAAGCAACATTCAAGCTCCCCAAGCCACCCCAAGCCCCAATGATCCATCCCCGTCTCCTGACAAAGAACAATTGCTGTACACAGCACTTTTCTCTTCACACACAAGAATAATTATCATTCTGATCATTAAGCTAAGGTGTGGATACCCAACTAGGACAGAATTTAAGTTACCAAAGTGAGACCTCATCTCCCAGACGCTACTTACTGATCATCAGTCCCACAGCAGTGAATTGATTATTGCTGTTTAGTTGTTTGTTTGATAAGCTGAGTGCAGCATTCAAGTCCGTTTTGACATGAGAAGTCATATCCTAGAATTTAAGAGTTTGGAAAGATCAGGACCTCCAGATTTTGATGGGGAGATAGGTGTACAATGGGCAGGGGTGAGTGAGTAGGGGACAGGAAAGAAGCTTTGCAACATCTACCTAGAGGATATAATGCCCTTTTTTATATGATGCTTTGCATTTCTTGCAGGAGCTAGAGCTCCCTCAGTTCTTGATCTCTTTCTCATCATTAAGATTCACAGAGCCACACAGTGAAAAGTAAAGTCAAGTCCTTCTGGAAATCTGGCATGTCAGGCTTGTGCGTAGCTGCAGATTTCAGGTTTGTTTTTTGTTTTTTTTTTTACTCTAAGTGCTTTGATTTTATGTGTGTATGTGCATGTGTGTGCACACACATGTATTCACACACACACACACACACACACATATATTTATACACATATATACATATATCATATAGGAAGGATAGGGGAAGAAGGGATCTGTACAGTGGGGAAGTGTTCAACAGCAGTTGGCCACATGCTAAGTGCAGAATGAAGATCCTCAACTTTCTCCATTAAAAAAAATAAAGATTAGTGCCTACATTAGTTAAGATCAAAGGCTGTTATCTTCCAGGGCCTAGCAGTCAAGGCTGGCAAATTGCAGAAAATGCCTTCTTCTAGCTTTGCTTCCTTCACCAGATCATGGTGAGAATAGAGTAAAGATAGGGACCAGAAAGAAGAATGACTTGAAGGATCTGTGATGGGACTTAAAATCTGATGTATTGCTGAAAGTGGATGGGGAAGGCAGGGATAAGCACTGAAAAGCCGCTCTCACCTACCTCCTGGGGAATCCAAGGGAAAGAAAAGTGCAGCCCTCCAATCTGGTTGCCTGACTAGGTGATGCTGCAGTTAACGCTGGTCCTAAGTTCCTCCTATATCCTGCTGTTCTGGGAGATGCTGCCAAAGAACCATCTTGGGGAAACGAAGGGCAAATACAATGATGGCAGTGATGTTTCTACAAACAACCTAGAGAAATTTGGTGTCTTGCATAAACATAACTATGACTTATTTGGTAGAGGCAAACGCTGAACCCTGCAGCATTGGACTGGCAGGGGAAGGAAGGTATACTGTGGGTACCGGTGGTCTTTGCCCTCCTCTCTGTGTCCCTGTCACCTACGTTCTTTTTCTTTCCTCCTCTCTTTCTGTTCTGTGCCAGGAGGCAGCACAGACCACTCCTGATCCTATGTCAGTGCCTTGCCACTTCCTCTGTTGTCTCTGATCTTCTTAATTCCTGGAGGCACTTTCAGCAATTCAGTGGATATAAGATAAAGGCACTGCACAACTACCTAAATCAATCTGTTGAGTTTCTTCAGTGAGTTTTAGGGGAATAAAAAAAGTATTAAATAATGACTGCCAAAGAAACTAGCTGTTGCAGTTTGGATGCATATAATAGATAATTTTCATTTACATTCTGAGAATGCACCAAAAGGCATGCATCTGCACCTTTCAATTATAAATGATACTAGTTCTTAGGTGTTGCTATACATAACTCGACTTCTTAATTTTCCATATAGCTTTCCCTTTAAGGGATAGGATATGTTCCTTTCTGACAATGCCTAGACAAAAGCCAATACATTTCCCTGAGCAATGCAGGAAAACCATCAAGTTTCTCTAGTCAGTTCATTCAGGCCCTCAGTTTAACAAGCATTTTTTGATTTTGTTTTTTATTATTATTATTATTATTATTGAATTCATGCATTAATTAATTTAAGTTACACCTTAATCAAATAGGCCATAATGCTGAATATTTGAACATGCTTTGATCTCCAAAAGTTATTGTTCCCATTTGACTAACATACGCACTTAAATACAGTACTTTAAATTACTAGTCAACAATTTAATAAATTAAGGAGTGCACTTTTGGTGAATGCAAATCAAAAATAAAAAGGAAAGAAAATGAGAGATAAAGGACCTATTTTTAGAAGAGTCAGTTCAAACGAAAGCTTATCTGCTATTGTCTGAGGTAACGTTTCAGGCATGCGATTATAAAATAAATAGTATCAAATTCAAACATGCTAATATTAAATTCCGTTGTGCTATCTTGCAATAGAGGGACTAAACGTTTTGTATCCAGTTCTGGACAGGAAAAAGGAAAAGTGTGTTTAAACCATCTGCACTTAAGAAAACTTAGCAGCATTGCAGATGTTTTGTTTTCAGTTTTGTTTGTTTGTTTTCCTCTTTTAGAATAGTTCTTCTAAGGATAGCAAAAAAAATCAGGCTTAAGTGTATTTTTAATAAGGTGCTGTGTGGATCTCTAGATTAGAACTATGTAATTTTTCACATAAGGGGTGGAGGGAAAATTTGCACTCCTTCATAAAAACAATGGCAAATGCTTGCTGCATATTTCTGCTAAACTTTTTCTTTATTATCTGATGCACTTTCTTGCAATTGTGCAGTTTTGCAGAATATTTTTACTGGAATCCATGCATATGCTTTATAGCTCTAAAAACCGTCTTACTTAGTTTAAAGTTAACTTAACCAAAAAAAAAAAAAAAAGAGAGAGAGAGAGAGGAAAAGTTTAGGTTTAGCATCATATGGTTTAAAACTAAACTAGTTCAAATGGTTATCGTTTATCATGTGGAATTTTTTTTTGTTATTATTATTAAACAAAATCTTATTTTTCATGGATCCTGGAAGCTTTTTTATCACTGAGCAAAAATTCGCAATGCAACAATGCATTTACGAGGTAAATAAAGCATTCAAAGACTATCAGTAAAGCATCTACAAAGTGTGACTATGTCACTTAAAGTCTTCACGCTGTGAGTGGGGATTTTGGTTTTTTGTTTATACATCAGTCAGCAGCTTGCTTTTATTAACGCAGTTTTGGTTGGCTACAGTGCAGTTGCCAGTTCTGAGATTAGCCTCTCTAAAATTGTCTATGCTATTATTCATATCCTCTTCGATTTCCATGTACTCAGATTTGCTGATTGTGGAGGAGCTGCGGCGACTGAGATCACTGTCAGATGCTAAATTAGGGGAGCTAACGTGAAGTAACTGAGCCTGTTCTTCCCCTTCTGTTTCTCGGTGGTAGAAGTAGTTGAAGTTGGACACGATGACAGGTACAGGCAGGGCAATTGTCAGCACACCAGCGATGGCACACAAGGAGCCTACGATTTTGCCTCCAATTGTCACAGGGTACATGTCACCATAGCCCACAGTGGTCATGGATACCACCGCCCACCAGAAAGCATCAGGGATACTTGTGAAATGAGACTCAGGTTCTTCAGCCTCAGCAAAATATACCGCACTAGAGAACAAGATCACCCCAATGAAGAGAAAGAAGATTAGTAAACCTAGCTCTCTCATGCTTGCTTTGAGGGTCTGTCCCAAAATCTGGAGGCCCTTAGAGTGCCGGGAGAGTTTGAAGATTCGAAAGACTCTTACCAGTCTGATGACTCTCAGGATGGCCAAGGAGGTGGCCTGCTCCCCCTTCTGAGTCCCCTCCCTCTCGGCCATCTCAGTGCCCAGGGTGATGAAGTAAGGGATGATGGCCACAATGTCGATGAAGTTCATGATATTCTTGAAGAAGTCAGTCTTACTGGGGCAGGCAAAGAAGCGCACCACTAGCTCAAAGGAGAACCAGATGATGCACAGGGTCTCCACAACAAAGAAGGGATCAGTGAAGATGTTGGATTTGTAGACTTGGGTGGTATTGTCAGTACGCTGCACAGTATACTCCTTGTCCTCCTTCAACTCAGGTAATGTCTCCAGGCAGAAGATCACGATGGAGATGAGGATCACCATAACAGAGACTATTGCAATCACCCTCGCAGGCCCAGAGCTCTCTGGGTACTCAAAGAGGAGCCATACTTGGCGCTGGTATTCTTTCTCAGGTAAGGGTCTCTCCTCATCTTTGATGAACCCTTCATCTTCCCGGAACTTCTCCATGGCCTCCTCACCCAGCTCATAAAACTTGATTTCCTCAGAGAACATGTCTAGGGGCACATTGACCGGCCGGCGAAGCCGCCCCCCAGACTGGTAGTAGTAGAGGATGGCATCAAAGCTAGGCCGATTCCGGTCAAAGAAGTACTCATTGCGCAAGGGGTCAAAGTACCGCATGCGCTTCTTGGGGTTGCCCAGCAGTGTATTGGGGAACTGGGCTAAGGTCTTCAGCTGTGTCTCAAAGCGTAGTCCAGCAATGTTTATCACTACGCGTTCACAGCACTCATGGTCATCGTGGGCAGCAGGCTGATAGCTATCCTGGGGGTGGCCAGGTAGCACAGAAGTCTCGTCCATGTTCTCTCCAGCCATTACGGTCATGGTGGCACACAGGATGGGAGACCAAGGGGCAGGGAGGAGAAGGGAGGGTGAGGAGCTCGAGGAGCAAGAGGATGGAAGGGAGCACAGAGCTTCAGGGCAGTGCAGTGGAGGATGGTGGGGGGTGGGTAAGGGGAGGCTTAGGGTCTGCAGGAAGGGATGATGAGTTGGGACGGAGAGCTTGAGGAAGGGATGGAAGAGCAGCCTAAAGGATGGACATACCCAAGCAGGGAAAAGAGAGGTGGGATGAGAGGAAAGGCATCAGGGATGAAGGGAGGGTGAAGAGGGGAGGGAATAAGTACCTTTGGGGGGAGGGGGAAGAAGGGAGGTAAGGTGACGTGTCCCGTCCCCCCAGGCCAGGACGCTGGAGGTGTATGGGGCTCACACCCCGGCTGGGGTCCCCTCCCCAGCTGTCTCCTTTTGCCTTTAACTCGATCCGGCTGCTTTTCTCTCGAACTCGACCATCGTCACGGCTGCTGTCACAGAGTTACCACACATGTACATACACACACACACACACACACACACACACACACAAATAATTAAATAAATCATGGGGCGACTGGGAGGTGAGTCCTTGCAATGCCAACTCAGCAAATTTCCATCACCTACCCCCTCCCCCACACCCCACTGCCCCAGTCCTCTCCTCTTGTGCGCTGGGGAAGAAGGGATGGAGATACTCTGCTTTTGAAGGCATAAAGCTCACTTGCAGGATGGAAGCTGCCAGGGAGGAGAGAAACATAATAAACCAGCCCCCAAGCCCCACCACACACACACTCTCAGGCGCAATGGATTGACTTTCACATCAGCAAGAAACATCCCGCTCTGCCCACTACGGCAGCACATACGAAGCCCTACGCGCTCCCACACAGCCCCAGATGCACACCAGGACTGCCAGAGCAGGAAGGGGGCTGATCCAGACCCCCGGCCCTGTCCTGTCCTGAGCTCCTCGGGATGGCTTTCCAGTGAACTCGCAGGGTCAGCTCCTCCCGTAAGTTTCCTGCCTGCCACACTCCCTGTTTTACAGGCTGTGTGGACTTAGCTGAGCACTGATAACTTCATCACATCAATGGGAGGGTTAAGGGGATGGGGAGTGGAGCATCTCCCCTTTGCTTCACAGAAGCGAAACACAAGTGAGAGAGAGACAAGAGGAGGGAGATCGGGGGCAGGGGGACCAAAAAAAAAGAAAACACCCAAACTGTTCAAAATAGAGAGTCCAACAGTGGAGAAGAAGGGGCTTTTCCTTACCTGGTCCGAGTGAGATGCAGTGGTTAGGAGTAAGAGCCAGTGCTGGAATGCGTCAAGTCGTCTTGCAGCAGCATCCAAAAAATCAAAACAAAACACAAACCGCAGCAGCAAACTCAGCCCTCTTTCTCCTCCTCTTGCGCCCCTCTTTATAATACAGTGATCACTTTACAGGGCTGCCTTCGAGACACTGAAATATTGATACACTGGCTTAGGCTGCATCAAGGGCGAGCGGGTTTAATTAGTTTCTGCCGAGAACCGCAATAGAGGTT